CTCCCTCACACTGAACAGTGGATCCTCCCTGTGGTCTCAGCTCCTTCAGGCCGTGTCTGTTCCCCGCAGAACGTCCCGCTGATCGTGGAAGCCTGCTGCAAGGTGGTGGAGGACAAGGGGCTGGAGTACATGGGCATCTACCGCGTGCCCGGGAACAACGCCGTGGTGTCCAGCCTGCAGGAGCAGCTCAACAAGGGAAGCACCGAGATCAACCTGCAGGATGAGGTGCCTCCCTCGGCAAAACTCCCGTGTGCCGCCCCCAGAACTGGGGAGGGAAAGTACAGGGGCCAAGCGCCAGTTGCTCAGGATTGGCCCGGCTGCCCGTCCGTCAGGACGGAGGGGAGGACAGGCCAAGCCTGAGGGAGCAGCATTGTGACCTGGCGAGCGGAGTCGCAGCTCCACTCGTGTCTGACCCGGCTGCCCGCGGCTGCCAGGTTTGCCTGTGGGCAGAGCAGCCCCTGGGCGAGAGCCTGGCGTGGCCCCCGCCCCCCATGCCAGTGCCACAAACCAGCAGGCGGCAGCTGCCAGCTGTTACATTGTGCAGAGCAGCAGCGCCCCCTAGTGGCCCGGCCGGCTAGTCCCGGTGACTCTGCCCTGTAATAACACCCAGCCCGCACAGAGCAGGTTTCATCTGCCAAGCGCCCTGGGGGGCAGGAATGGGAATTAACCAGGGTGGGGTGTGTGGGGCAGGGACACGCTTTGCCTCGCATCTTCCTGTTAGCTCCTTTTCCAAGGGGGGTGGCGACACTTGTGGGGCGCGCCCGCTGATGGGTGCCGGGGCCACTTACGCCCAGCTCGCCCGGCCAGAAGAGTTACACTCCTCACTGCAGGCGGCCCTTGGCCCCTGGCTCCTGCTGTCCTGGAGGTGGCCAGGAGCCTCCCCGGCGCCCTCTCCTGGGCGGGCATTGCTAGTAGTTGCTCTTGCCCAATGTGGCAGAGGGTCTGATTAGCTTGATGCCAGCGGTGAGGCCCCTGTGGCTCTCCCAGGCCTTGGGCTCTGAGGTTCCCCCCAGCAATGACTGGGCACCCCACTGGCCTGTCCGCTCTCGGCCTTCCCACCCCAGGCAGCCTCCCCCTAAGCACCGCCTCCTCTCCCCACACAGAGATGGCAGGACCTGAACGTCATCAGCAGTCTGTTGAAATCCTTCTTCCGGAAGCTCCCGGAGCCCCTGTTCACAGACGGTGAGTCTGGGGAATAGCCCTACCCCCCAGGACACACAGGCAGACGACACACGCGCCCGCACAGATCCACTGGTCTCACACGCGCACACACACACAGCTGGAGGACACACACACGCATGCACAGCCAGAGATATGATTAAATTCAATAAGGACAAATGCAAAGTACTCCACTTAGGACGGAACAATCAGTTGCACACACCCAAAATGGGCAATGACTGCCTAGGAAGGAGGACAGCGGAAAGGGATCTAGGGGTCATAGTGGATCACAAGCTAAATATGAGTCAACGGTGTAACGCTGTTGCAAAAAAAAAGCAAACATCATTCTGGGCTGTATTAGCAGGAGTGTTGTAAGCAAGACACGAGAAGTCATTCTTCCGCTCTACTCCACGCTGATTAGGCCTCAATTGGAGTATTGTGTCCAGTTCTGGGCGCCACATTTCAGGAAAGATGTGGACAAATTGGAGAAAGTCCAGAAAACAACAACAAAAATGATTAAAGGTCTAAAAAACATGATCTATGAGGAAAGATTGAAAAAATTGGGTTTGTTTAGTCTGGAAAAGAGAAGACTGAGAGGGGACGTGTAACAGTTTTCAAGTATGTAAAAGGTTGTTACAAGGAGGAGGGAGAAGAATTGTTCTTCTTAACCTCTGAGGACAGGACAAGAAGCAATGGGTTTAAATTGCAGCAAGGGAGGCTTCAGTTGGACATTAGGAAAAACTTCCTGTCAGGGTCTTTAAGCACTGGACTAAATTGCCTGGGGAGGTTGTGGAATCTCCATCATTGGAGATTTTTAAGAGCAGGTTAGACAAACACCTGTCAGGGATGGTCTAGATAATACATAGTCCTTCCATGAGTGCAGGGGACTGGACTAGATGACCTCTCGAGGGCCCTTCCAGTCCTATGATTCATTCTCAATCTCTCTCTCAGACACATGCACAGCCGGAGGGGACACACGCGCGCGCACACACAGCCGGAAGACACACACACAGATCCAGATGTCTCTCACACACACACATACAGCCGGAGGACACATGCGTGCACACACAGCTGGAGAGGACACAAACACACACAGATCCAGATGTCTCACACACACACGCTTGTGCACACATACATACAGCCGGAGGACACATGCGCACACAGACAGCTGGAGGGGACACACACACACACAGATCCACAGGTCTCACACACACACATTTGTGCGCACACAGCTGGAGAGAGCTCTCTCTCTTGCTGCGTTGATGTGACTAAACCCCACTTGGAGCCCCTCCTCTCACCTCCACCTCCCTACTGGACGTGTGACCCCTTCATTGGCACACTGCTCCGCTCGCTGCCTGGTGATCTGCCCTGGGAACCCCGTGGCCATGCAGCACCTCCCAGAGCCCCCTAGCTATAGACTGCCCCACTTCACCCGCTGTCTCTGCATTACCCATGTGCCCTCTGCTGCCAGCACTCCCTGAGCACCACGCTCAATCTGTCTGTTCAGAGCCTTCCGGGTACTGTCACCCAGAGCCCCCTCGCTGCCCCACGTCCTTCCTTCCCCCCGTGCCCCAGCCAAATGCCGAATGCCGCCTGCGTCCTGGCCTGATGGCTCCTCTCTTCTCTGCCCCTCGGCGGCATCTCTAGCAGGGCTTCACCCCTGGCCCTGGTCCAGCGGGCACTGCCCCGGTGCACTCCACCAGGGCCGTGCTTGGCAGGGCCATTGAACCTGGCCTCTCTGCATGTCTGGCTTTCAGATAAGTACAACGACTTCATCGAAGCCAACCGGATAGAAGATGCCAGCGAGAGGATGAAGACGTTGCGGAAACTGGTACGGGGCCCTTCCCTCGAGGCTGTGGGTCCCTCGGGGGCGTGGGGAACCCTCCGCGGGTCCCCTGGCCACAGCCCTCAAGCAGGGGTCTCCCTCCGAGCCCCCAAACCTCCTGCCTGTGGGCAGGGAGCAGGTATCAGCCCTGTCCCAGGAATGACTCTCCCTCCCTTTCCAGCCTGTCTGGTAGGCTTGGCCTGCCCAGCGTGTGAGGGGATCCAAGCCCTGTTCTGTGGCTGGGGGTGGGGGCAGAGCCCCCTGTCTTGCTCCCTCTTCTGGCCTGGAAAAGTGGAGGTGTGTGCAATGGGGGGCAGAGGAAGAACGGAGGGGCCGATCCGGGATGAGGAGGGTCCTAGCAGGGAAGGAGTGAGGCTGGGATGGGGAGGGAGGGTCCCCATCTCTCTCTGTGGCTGGCCAGGCATTCACGCTGCTTCTGCACTCCCACCAGATCCGGGACCTGCCGGGGCAATACTATGAGACGCTCAAGTTCCTGGTGGGGCACCTAAAGACCATCGCGGACCACTCCGAGAAGAACAAGGTACCGTTGCCCCCGCCTGGCCCCCACCCAGCCAGCCCCCGCACCCTGCTAGAGAGCCCGGGGTCCCCAGGGCCGCGGATTCTCTGTGTGCGGGACACCTGGTGCTCTCCAGGGCCCCAGTGCTCCGTGGTCTGTGCCCCAGGCCCCCAGCAGGGCGTGGACGTGAAAACCTAGAGCCGAGTCCCTGAGCAGCGCTGCGTGTTAGTACCGAACGGGTATCTGGGGGTCTCAGCTGGGGATCGCACGCAGGGCAGCCAGCCCCCTCGCTGCTTGTGCGGCTGCCATGACACGTCTGCCGTGATCAGAGCTAGTGTGGGTGTGTCTGCCCGTGCAGGGGGTCCCGCCTCCAGCTCCAGCTCCAGGCGTAAACGTGCCCTAAGTAACTTGCCCAAGGTCACCTGGGAAGTCTGGTGGAGAAGGGGATTGAGGCTAGAGCCCTGCCGGCTGGGATATCCTCCTTTCCTGGACCAGGAAGAAAGGTTCAAAAGCCAAGTGGAGAGGGAGGCAGTGTTCTCTAATGGTTAGAGCAGGCAACTGGGCATCAGGACTGCTGGGTTCTGTCCCTGGCTGTGACAGTGTTGGCCACTGCCTCAGTTTCCCCATCTGTAGGAAGGGGATGATCACCCTAACCCACCGGTGCTGGGAAAGGGACTGTGAGTTAATTGGTTAATATGAGAGCAGGTGGGATGGGTTGCAGCGAGGCCAATGGCAGGACAGGGTGTTCGCCAGCCCTTTCCCCAGGCTGGGGATTGATGTGATTTTATCGCTGGGCGCTTACAGCCCAGGGCCTTGGCATGAGACTGTCCGATCCCAGAGGGGGCCCCACGGGCACAGGCTGTGCTCAGGCTGCTGGCTGTGGGGTGAGAGCCCCCTTGGGATGGGGTTTCCTGGGACCCAGGAGTGGGGCTGGCTGCCGAGACTGTAACCCCCTGCCCTGTTTGCAGATGGAGCCCCGGAACCTGGCCCTGGTCTTCGGCCCCACGCTGGTCCGCACGTCCGAGGACAACATGACGGACATGGTGACGCACATGCCAGACCGCTACAAAATCGTGGAGACCCTCATCCAGCACGTAAGTGACAGGTGGCCCTTTGCTCAGCCCCGCGCTTCACTGGGCTGGACGGGCCCCCGGTGCCCTGCTCCCCCCACGCTCTGCTGGGCAGGATGGGCCCTTGGTACCCGGCTCCCCCACCCACCTCATCTTCCCCGTGCTTTACTGGGCAGGCCGGCCCCCGCCGTGCTGCTCCCATCTGCTCTCCCTGCACTTCACTGGGCAGGACGGGCCCCCGGTGCCCTGCTCCCCCCACGCTCTGCTGGGCAGGACGGGCCCCTGGTGCCCTTCCCCCTCCTGCACTCCCCAGCACTTTACTGGGCAGGGTGGGCCCCCGGTGCCCTGCTCCCCCTGGGCAGGGTGGGCCCCCGGTGCCCTGCTCCCCCTGCTCTTTGCCCGTCTTACCAGGCTGAAGGGAAACTTCCCTCCTTGGGAGCCGAACGTCAGTGGGTCGGGGTTGGACTTTTCTGCACAGTCGGGATCAGCTCCCAGTGTGGTGCGGGGTGTGTAGGGTCAGACAGCAGGGGGCGGGTGCCCCGGGGCTGTGGGCCAGGCTGGAGGGGAGGGGCGGTGCCAGGCCATGGGGCGGAGAGGCCTGCAGAGACAGACTGGGACTCGCGTATTCGGATCTCCATGCCGGGCGGGGGCAACGCGGGAATGAATCTGGCAGCAGCCGGGCAACCTGGAGCCAGTCACCCACCCTCCCCGCCTCCCTTGCCCCCCCCTCCCCCCGAGATGTTGTACTGCCGTCCTGCTGTGCTCTGACCCTCGTCCCCTCTCCTTGCTCCCGCAGTCGGACTGGTTCTTCAGCGACAAGGAGGACAAGGGGGAGAAGGTGAGTCCCGGGCGGGGGGAGCAGGGGGGTTGGCTCCCTGGCTGCCGGTGGGCACCTGTCCCAGCCGTGGGAGGGCTGCAAGCCTCTGGGGACAGCCGGTCTCCGAACGCATCCCCTGAGCTCTGCACGCATGGTCCTCGCGACGCCAGCCTGGGGGCAGCCTCTCTCCTGCCCCCTGCTGGAGACCCCGGTGGGGGGGAGACCAGCTGGTTCCCTGTGTGTGAACAGCGCCCCCCTCTGCCCGAGGCCAGAACGCTCAGCCCCTGGGGAAGGACCCTGCCAGGGTGAGCAGCTCCCCCTGGGGGGCTCTGTCCAGCACTGCCGCCCTGCTGGCAGGGCAGGGGGCACTCGGCAGACAGAGCGGAAGGGAGTCAGGGGGCTGGGCCCAGGGGCTCCTCCGCTCACCACTCTCCCCCCGCTGCCGTTCCAGACCCCTGTGGACGAGAAGGAGGCGCAGTCGGTGCCGAACATCGAGTACCTGCTCCCCAACATCGGGAGGACGGTGGTGCCAGGGGACGCCTCAGGTGAGGGGGCACGACCGGGGGGGAAAGGGGAAGGCTCCAGTTGTGGGGCCGTCAGGGCTCAGCCGGCAGCACCGGAGGAGGAGTGACCTCACAGGCAATCCACCTCCACAGGAGTTACTGGGCCACTGCTCCTGGGCCAGGCCAGGGCTCTCCCCATCAGGCACCCCCCGCTGGGCAAGCTGGGGATCCCCCTGCGGGAGCCTCCTCCTTGGGCACCCCCAGCAGCCCCCTCCCTGGGCACACCCCTCTCAAGAGGCTGCTGATCCGCAGGATAGCTGGGGACCGGGGCTCCCACCTGCCCTAAGTGACCCAGGAGCTGCCCAGCCAGTCCCTACAGCAGAGCTGCCCGTCTAGCAGCGGGCACAAGCCTTCCCGGGCAGGAGGAGGGGCATTTCCTCAGGCCACGCCCACTGCTGAGGATTGAGTGTGATAGGACGGCTGGCACCGAAGAACAGCAAGGAGCCAATCACTGGCCACGGGCCGGTTACCAACTGCTGTTGGGCTCCCCCTAGTGCTACTGCTGGGAAGTGCTGGTCTAGTGTCAGTGAGTTCCCCAGGTCCTCTCCTGCGTATACTCCCTGATAGCTGCTGTCCCCGAGCCCCCCGCTGGGCCCCATCGTGGAACAGTCCATCAAACCACAGGGCTGCCCATTGTTCCCTCACTAGCCAGCCAGCCCCAGCAGCTCTGCCACGGGTCTGCCTCTGTCCGGTGCCTGGTCCCTCTCCCCCGGCTCGAGCTGCGCGTACGGAGCGCAGCCGCTTTGAAATGACATTGATTCTTTATGCTCTTTCCTTAAACGTCTCTCTGCTGTCTTCTTCTCCCTCCTCCTCCTCCTCTTCCTCCTCCTCCAGCGGATCTCCTGGAGCTCTAGAGCGGGTACAGTGCTGCTGTTTGGGTGCATTGCTCATGCACTAATTCCGTCGGGCGATCGTGCGAGAGCGGGTGCAGGAGGGGAGCCGCAGCCCTGCGCCATGCCCCCGGGAAGAGCGCCCCCCCGCCCCTACCCCACTGCGCTGGCCGCAGCGCACGTCACCCCGTGACCCACGTGGCCTTTCTTCGGCCATGGGCAGGGAGGCATGCCCCCCGGTACCTCTTTGCCCCCCCGGAAGGTCACGAGCCCCAGCTTGACACCCCCTGGTGTGGTTCATCCCTCTTGTACCACCATTATAGTCAGAGGATGAATGATCTGGACCCCCCCCCCACACACACACATTCACCCGCAGCGTTGGCTACACGGGGGCCCTGCCGCTGACATGCAGTTTTCTCTGGGCATTGCTCTGTGAGGGAGCACAGGGGAGCCCCTTGCCCCTCTGCCCGCCTGAGAGCACCCACAGCATCGGGTCAGAGGCCTGCTGGTCCCGGTGCCCATGTCCCCGGTGCTTGGCATCAGCCCACCCGAGCCGTAGCTGGGCGCAGGGGGAGCCCTGCCAGCCGGGTTCTGTGAATGCCAGGAGTGCGAGCCTGGCCATGTGAGTGGGTGCGGGGGATTCCTCTGGAGTCAGATCAGCTGGTGCCGCCCACCCCAGGGTGCTGAGGTCATGGGTGGGCCCTTGGGAGACCCCCCATCCCTCTGCCTGCCCAGGGTGCAGAGACGCCCCTTCAACCCTGGGCCTCTCCCCTTTCTGAGCCTTCCCAGTAGCCACTCAGCCCAGCCCCCTCCCGGCTGCGCCCCCCAGCCCCACATGACCCCTGCGCCCCCCAAGGAGCCCAGGCTGACCCGCCAGCCCCCATGGTTCACAGCAGGCTCTTCCCAGTGGTGGCTGGCTGCAGGTTCGGGGGCTGGGATTCCAGATCCTCCCAGGGGTCAGCGTTCCCCTCCTGGCCCCCCCTCTCATAAGCACCAGCCGCGAGTCCCATCCCTCCGCCGGGGCGGGGTGCGGGGGTCATTGTGTTTGTCCTTGTGCTTCTCAGTGTGGTGGAGTGGGGGCTGGCGCGATGGGTGCATCCTCTCCCCTCACCCCCTTTAACCTGCTTGCGAGACATTGCAGATTAACACACGGTCCACCCGCGGCCCTCGCCTGTGCATTCCTTGGGGCTTGCCCCTCCTCTGGCGCAGCGAGAGACCTGGGCTTGGGCTCGGAGCAGGCAGCCCGTGGGCAATACTGAGCCGCGTTGGCCCTTTGCCGCACAAGGCCTCTGGGGTCCCGCCGCCCCGGGGTCCCTGGCTGCTGGGAATGGGCGTCGCTCCCTGACTTCAGATGGAGTTTCCACCACCAGGGATCTGCCGGTGGTCCCCCTGCTAAAAATCTCCCTGCTGTAATATGGGGGGGGGGCATCGCCCCTGGTGGCTGCTCCCAGCTGTAGGAGACCCCTTCTTTAGTGCCAGCGGTAGGAGCTTGTGCCTTGGCCCTGCAGGCCATGAGTCTGAACCGCACGGAGGGTCGGTGATACGTGTGTGGCCGCGGGGATCGGTGCAAGGGGGCTCTAGTGTAAATGGGGATCGGGCCCCTCTGGGTCTAAGCCGAGCTCAGTGGACATGTCCCCAGCATCAGAGGGGAGAGCTCCCCCCGTTTGCACTGGGGCGCGTGAGCGCTGCATAACCCGGCCTGGGGCCTCCCCATCCCCAGGGGAAAGCCCGGGTGCCAGCGGAGTAACTCCTCCTGTGTTCTCCCAGTGCGCCACTGTCCCCTTTCCCCCCGTCCGTCCGTCCTGGGCTCGTGGCTCCAGTCCGTCAGCGCCACTGGCAGGACCCGTCCGGCTGCTGGGTGGGTGAAGGGGGCTCCGGCGACTGGGTGTTTCCCAGCTGGGCCTGGGTCTTTTTTCTCGTTTCCTTTTCTTTCCCCTGTGGCGGTGGCCGTTCTTTTCCCTCGTGCTGTGATTAACCCAGCGGTTGTGTGACCGGGGCGCGCGGGTCGCACACAAATGGACAGGGGGGCCCCGAGAGCATTGTGAGGGCCCCCCCCCGGGGGCCCCCCAGAACGCCCCCCCCCCCCCCCGTCTGGGGGCAGCCGCTGCCTTGAGGCGCATGAGCCTCCACGGCTTGGCCGGACGGAGCTGGGTGAAAATTTGTGCCCGAAACTTTTTTCCTGGCATCGGCAGCACCAGAACATTGGACAAATTCGCGTCAGTTTTGCCAAATTGTTCATTTTGAGGGCGGAAAAATAAATCTGACGAATCCTTTCCATTTGTCCCTTCCAAATGAGTTTTTTCTTTAAATAAAATTTGAGAAAATTTTGAAAAAAAAAAATCAAAAATGTTTAAAAATGGTCAGAAATCGAAACGTTTGGTCCGGCCCGAAACCAAGGGCTTTGGGGACTTTTTGCAAAGTGCCCCAAATTCCGCTGTTCTGGTGCCCCTCCCGACAGCTACACCTGGGCCTCGTTAATTTCCCAACCTGGGCGCCCCACTGCCAGTTGCTGGAGCAATGTGGATGCTGATCGTGCTGTTGATTAGAGCCACACGTGGAGGGAGAGCTTGGGGATGTCCCTCTGCTGTGATGCCCGCACACCCCAGCCCCCCCCCCCCTCCGCTAGCAAAGACCTCCCCTGCCCACCCTAATCCCTGCTCTGTCTTTTGCGTTACAGATTCAACCAATAGCAGCTCTGCCAAATCGAAGGTAAGGACTCCCGTGTGAGGGACTCTCTGAAGTCTGGGGGGGTGGTTCCTGTGTGTGCTAAAATCTCCAGCTTTGCTGGGCCTCGGCCTCTGGCCCAGCGAAAGGGGCAGGAAACGCAGGGTGGAAATTCAGCGTTTTACCCGTAAATTCTGTTGCTGTAAAAGCACAGAGCAGCTTGCGTGGCCCTTCCCACCTCAGTCCTGGGCCGTGCTGTCCTGTCCTCCCGAGAGCAGCCAGACGGGCGGGTTCGCGGGATTGCCAACTCTGTATGAGGGAGGGAGGTCCAGGGGTTTACTTGGGTCTGATGAGGCAGGAGAAAGCTTCAAGGTGACCTTGCAGATCACAGGACGGTGGCATGGCCCAGTGGGTAGGACCCTGGCCTGAGAGTCAAAGACAACTGAGTTCTGTTCCTGGCTCGGCCTGTTGTGTGTCACTGCTCTCTCTCTGCCTCAGTTTCCCCTCTCCCCCTTGTCTATTTAGATCCTTTTGGGGAGGGAGGGTCTTGGCCAGTTTCTCCGAGCAGGTCTGCCCAGCCGGGCCCTGATCCTGACGAGGGGCTGTGCATGTCTCTGCAGTAGCCAGAATTCGAACTCTGGGTCACTCGACGTATGTTTCATGCCGACCCGTGACATGGTTCCTAACAGGCCCCTTCCCGTGAGCTCTTCTTTGCGTCCGTCCTGGTGGTTCTGCTGGCTCCACAGGCTGGCTGGGACGTGGAGGAGTGGGAAGGCACGTGCAATCCTGTGCCCTGAGAGATGGCAGCCTCCATTTCCCCAGCATGCACTGCACCACTATGGGACAGTGACCTAAATATTTCCCAGAATGCACCACAGCACGATTGGATGCCACCCCCGATTTTCCCAGAATGCACTGCTGTGGCAGGGCGGCTGCGGCCGGGTCGGTGGCTTGAGCGCTCGGTGCGAAGCTGCCTGGGGCGTAGACGGGCTCGGGGCCGGGGAGGAGCCGTGAGCAGCAGGGACCGGGGCCGTGGCACTAAGCCGGGTGGTTCTCTCTCCAGCAGGGCTCGGGGGTGCCCCGGAAGGATCAGTACAACAAGGAGCTGCTCGCCATCTCCTTCATCGCCGCCGTCAACCGCAAGAGGAAGAAGCGGCGGGAGGCCAAGCGTTTGGGGAGCAGCACGGACGACGACTCGGAGCACGAGGCCACCAAGGGCGCCAGCAAAGGCAGAGCCGAGGAGGCCAGGGGCGGGGGCGCGGAGGAGGAAGAAGCCAAGGGGCCGGGGTGCGGCGTGGCCCCCGGAGAGCCAGGCCCAACGCGCGACGCTCCGAGCCGCCGAGCGAGCACAGAGGAGCAGGCGGGACCGAGGGAGCCAGCGCCGGACGCCCGGTCCATCGTCTCGGGCTATTCCACCCTGTCCACCATCGACCGCAGCCTGTGCTCGGAGGTGCAGTCGGTGGCCGAGAGCCGAGGTGACGAGGCGGACGACGAGCGCAGCGAATTCAGCCACGTGGAGACGGACACGGAGAGCAGCTTCCTGCTGGGGAGGGCGGGGCCGGGCACCGGGCAGGGGCCCGAGGCGGAGAGCGGCGAGAAGGAGAAACTCGCCCGGGCCTCCTTCAACTCCCACCGGCTCATCCAGTGCGACACGCTGGCCCGCAGAAAGCTGGCGCGGCCCCGGCCGGACAGCGAGTCGTCCACCAAGGGCAGCCAGGAGTCCCTGCAGCCCCCGGGGGCCGGCGGGGAGCCGTGGGGCAGCGGGGCCCCGGCCAGGCCCTCGCTGACGGAGCAGATCCGCCTGCGTCTGCGCGGCTCGGCCGACGACATGCTGGCCGTGCGCCTGCGCAAGCCCCACTCCCCGGAGACGCGGCGCAAGAAGAGCTCCTGGAGGCGCCATACGGTGGTGGTGCCCGGCGGCCTGAAGGACCTCAACTTCAACGAGTGGAAGGAGCAGCAGACACCGGGCCAGGGACCCCCCGTCGGTCCCGAGCTCTGCCCCCTGGACACCAGCGCCTCCTGCAGGGACCTGCACAGAGACAACAAGGACTCGGGCCTCAGCAGCCTGGAGTCGACCAAGGCCAGGCCCTCCTCGTCCTCGGCACTGAGCCACCAGGGCGGCGCCGGTGAGCAGCTGCACAGTAAGGGCCCGGAGGGGAACCCTGGCGACCGGGGCCCGGCTCCCACCCGCGCAGCTTCTTTCCGCTTCCACCATTGTCTCTAACCCCCGCGTCCCTCTGGAACCCGAGGCCTGTCTCTGTTTCACCCGCCCCCTATCTCTCTCGCCCCCTGTGCTGCCTCTTGTGGCGAAGGCTGAAGTACCCTCTCTGGGCGGTTCCCCATCCGCACAGAGGTTGGAGCGCCCCCTAGGGGCCAGCAGCCACTCGCCCTGATTTTGCCGGCCTTGCCCCTTGAGCGTCCCTTGGCCTTTCTCACGGGGCTCCCTAGGCTGCCGGAGACGCCCCCGGCTGCGCTGCCTGGCTGGCGCTCGGGCGCGGCGTTCATTGAACGACCCTCCCTTGGTTTGGGGATGTAATCGTGAGTCTGTTTGATTTGTCTCCCTTTTTAAGACTCCCCCGCCCCTGACTTTGCCAGGCCAGGCCTGGGTGGGGGATTGTCCGCAGCTCGGAGCGTCCCGGCCTCGCCACAGAGCCGGGATCCCAGCCCTTTGGGTCCAGCCCGCAGCTGGGATGGGCGGGCACAGCGCACCCACAGGAAGCACTTGGCCTGAGACAGGCAACCCCTCCCCGGCCTCCTGGCCACCCAGCACATCTCCTTGCGTGGCTGCGGGGTCCCTGAGGCTGCCAGATCCGCTCTGCTGTCCCTCAGACGTCACAGGGGGGAGCGTGCTTGGCTCTTGCTGCCCCCGCCCTTGGTGGGGGATCCCACGGTTCCTGCCAAGGGCTGCTCCCCGCTGACGCGGGGGGTTGGGGTGGGGGAAGGATGCTCCGATTTCCATGAGACCGTTGCCAGCCCCCCGCTGCCAGCCCCCAAACCTCCCAGCAGGAGCAGGTGCCTCTGAAATCCTGCCACAGCTCTGGCATCACATTACTGTGCCCCTCCTCCTGCCCCCCTCGGCTCAGAGAAAGTGCCCCCTGGTGTGCAAGGAACTGCTGGGTGGCTTTGAACAGAGGGTCCCTGGCACCCCAGTCAAGCCCGCCCCCGAGGGCCCCCCCTTTCCCAAGCCGGTTCTCCCAGGGTGAGCAAGGCAGTTGTAGAATGGAGACAGGAGGCCGCGCAGACACAGCGCCCGCACGTGGGCTTTGCTCAAGAGCGTGAGCGTTTTCCCGCTGGCTCGTAACACTGGTGTGTGCATGTGTGTGCACATGCACCATTCAGGTCTGTGTGTGTACACATGCGTGTGCACCAGTTGCATGTGTGTGTGCGCGTGTGCACCAGTTGCACCTGTGTGAGTGCGTGCATGTGCACCAGTTGCACATGTGTGTTCATGTACACCATTCGCACGTGTGTGTGTGCACGTGTGTGCTATGGCTGTGCCCCATGGAGCACGTGCCTGCGGTGCCCTTGTGTCAGCCTGATTCAGTGTTGGGTAATTGGTAGATGTAGGTGTGGTGGCATCATTGGCACCTGAGCAGGAGTGTGTGTGTTGGGGCCATTGGCACGTGCTCAGTGACCACATGCCTGCTGGCACCAGGTGCGGGATCCACTCGCGTGAATGCTGGGAAATGTCCCTCGTGCCAAGGGGCCCTTTGTTCCCCAGCCCCTCCCCTGTGCCAGGGAGGAGGTGCTGTTGTTTGCCAGCCTCAAAGCCACAGGGGAAGAAGCAAGAGAAGGAGCAGGGGCTGGGGAAGCGTAGAAAGGGGGCCCAGGCCATGGCTGGTTCAGTGCTTCCAGTGTGGCAGGGAAACCCAGCCAGGGAAGCAGAGCTACGTGGGCCAGCCAGGAACATCCCGGGAGGAGGGAGGAATCCTGGCCCCATTGCAGTCGATAGCCCCCCCGGCATCACTGGGGCCTGGAGTTGAGTTGAGCCCTGAGCACGCGGCAGCTGCCCTTCCTCCCCGGACACGACCCTCAGCTGCTCTCTGCGGCCCGAGGCCTCCTGGCCCTGGAGAGGCGGGTTCACACTCCGCAGCTGAGCCATGCAAAGCCCCCTGAGGTTAGGCCGCCCGGTGGGACTCGGGCACTCCCAGCGGGGGTGGGCAGGATGGAGCGGGTAGCTGGGGGCGTGAGCATTAGGTGACACCCCCAGGCAGGTCGCAGCCCCTTTGAGAAGCAGGGCGGGGCGGGGGGGGTGTGAGCGAGCGGCGCGGGTGTGCACAGGACACACAAGTGGCACTGCAGAGAGCAGCCAGGCCCAGGGCCCATGGCAGCGACGCTGGGAGAACTCACGGCTCACGGGATTGAGACTAGATCTGTCCTGGCCGCTCTGTCGAGTCAGGCCCTTGCTAGCAGCGCCGCCCGGGGTAAACCCATAATGCCCATCGTGCCATCCGGCACCGAGCCTGTTTCCAGCCGGGGAAGAGCGAGTTGTGGGCAGCCCAGTGTTAATGCTCCAGACCCGGTGCCGTGTGGCTGCGAACGCAGCACTCCCAGTGCCCCAGGCGGTTTAATCCTAGTCACTACCTTGCACAGCCCGGCTTTCAGCCCTACCAGCTCGCTTCCTCCCAGGCCCCTGCATGCCCAGGGACAGGCCCGGCGTGTTTGCGTCTCACAGCCCGGTTGGTTCCCCTTGCCCCGCACCTGGGTAGAGCGGCTGCGGCCAGAGCACCAAGAGAACTGGGTTTGAATGCAGGGCTTGCCGGAGCCCGGAGCGTGCGCACTTGCTCTGCATCGCCCTTGGAATGCACAAGGACTGGAGCATTCAAACCTCTGCGACAGGAATGTGTCCACCCTGCAAACCTCCCCTCGCCCACCCCTGCTGGCTTCACCCAGGAACTCATTTGTGTTTTGTTTTCCGTCACACCGCCAACGTCCCAGTGCTTGTGCCGCCCGCCCAGCTGGGGGCACCGGTCACGGCCTTGCGTCTCAAAGCGCTTTCGCAACCGATGCAGCCGCCTTCGGGGCAGGCCGCAGCAGCTGTAACTGGGTGCAGGGTTCGGGTTAAGGGCGCCAATGGGAACTGGCGAGGGTGCTGCAGGTAGGTGAGGCTAATCTTACACAAACTGGAATTTGGCTGGCCTTGGCAGCCTGTCTCTCGCTACAGACATAGTGCCATGGAAGAGTTTGGAGTCCGAGTCGCAGGCTGCATTTCTCAGCGTCAGGAGAGCCGACGCTGGCGTGAGCTCATTCGTCCCAGGTAACTGGAGCCAGGCAGTGTATTGATTCCATGCACAGAAAGTCCCACTTTCTACCAAGCAAGCAAACGTCTGTCGTCCTATGCAGTGGTTTATATTTTTCCTCTTGAAAATGTGTTTTCATGCTGCTAGACTGTGGCCCCCTTTTAGTTTGAAATGAAAACCACCCCTCCCCCCGCCAAATCCAATGCACCCGTCTCTGTGTTTAGAAAAAAAGCCAACTACAGCCCCGTGCCAGGCGATTGTCTTAATGAACCAGGGGTCCTGTCTCTGCAGCGAGCGTCCAGCTGTTCTCTACTGCGCTGGGGCTACAAAATAACGCCACGCCGCATCTTCCGCTTCCAACTGCAGCCATTCCAATGAGAGGCCTTGGGAGGATTTTAAAAATAAAATTAAAACAAAAAAAAACTTACTCCAGTTTATGCATCGTTCTCATACTTTATGCAAATAATTGCTGTAAAGTTTTGTTGTTTTCATTTTTTGTGTAAATAGTGTCTTTAAATGTGTAACATATTACAAAGAATTTATAAGGATTTTTTTAAGAAGTTTCGCTCATTTAAAAAAAAACCCCAGAAGAAAACCACCAAGTGCTGTAACAGTGTTGAATTTTTAAAACCTTCCTGCATGTGTCATTTTTTTCCTTGATGTGTTGTAAAAGGTCAGACATATATATGGAATATGCAAAACTAAAAAAAAAACAACCCACCTGGTTTGGCCCTCGCCGACGTACAGTTCTATATATTGGAAATAAACTGGCGTATTCAAGGAACAGACTTTCTGCTTTTATTGAACTGGTCAGTTGACTTCTTAGCAACCGAACGTTCCTGCGTGGGCCAGGCAATTCCACCGTCAGGCGCTTGGGGGCGTATCTGACACCGTCCTCAGCAGCTGCCTGGGTTGGCGATGGGCGAGCTGGACCTAGGCCTAGGGCGGCAAATTTTCAGGGGCGGCAAATTTGAGCACCCACGGAGAAGCTCCCCTGCTCCAGCTCGCCGCCGCGTCCTGTTTCTCTCCCCTCCCTCCCAGCGCTTGCGCCGCGAAACAGCTGTTTCGCGGGGCGGGGAGGAGGGGGAACATGGTGCGCTGGGGGGAGAGGCGGGGCCAGGGTGGGGATTTGGGGAAGGGATCCAATAGGGGCAGGGAGGGGGTGGAGTTGGGGCGGGACTTTGGGGAAGGGGTTGGAATGGGAGCGGGAAAAGGGTGGAGTCGGGGCGGGGCGGCAATTATTTCAGGGCCTAGGGGCGGCAAAATCATTAATCCGCCACTGCCCGACGCTCAGGGCTAAAGCCTGCGGACGTCAGTCCTGGACGGGGGTGCTCAGACTTCAGCTTCGGCCCCGGGCCCCAGCAAGTCTAAGCCAGCCCTGGCCCCCCCCCCCCCCCCCGGTATGACAACCGCTGCATTAAGGCCACTTACGTCAACAAACCTGACGTCGCCGTAGCTACCACCGCTTGTTGAGGTGGTTTTATTAAGTCAAGTGGCTCCTCCCTGGCACAGCTGTCAATGCGCTAGTGTAGACCTGGCCTCAGTGGGGGACCCCAGCCTAGCGCTCTGCTCGCGAATGAACGCACACAGACAGCGACAATCCTACCTGATCACACACGTGGCACAAGGATCAACCTAGCGCTGACCGCGCCAGCCTCCTAGGAAACCTGCACCCCTTCAAAAGCCGAGGCTGCAGTGCCATTCATTACCTTGCGAGACGCCAACAGTCATGGATTTAATGACTGCAGAGAGGTTACTGGGGCCCTTAGAATATGTTACCTACCCAGCCTAAACAAGCACAGACTCACAGGGACCGCAAGAGGGCAGCTAGTCCAGTGTTGTCTAGACCATCCCTGACAGGTGTGTGTCTAGCCTGCGCTTTAAAATCTCCAATGATGGAGATGCCACAACTTCCCCAGGCAATTTATTCCTAGGGAGGTTTTTGATCTGCTCCACCGTGTATTTAGCTGCGCCGGAGTACGTCTACACTGCCGTTCTACACCGGCGCGCAGGCTGTAAAATGACAGTGCCTATGTTACTGTGTCTGGCCAAAGTGTGGGCGCCAGCCCAAGCCCGAATGTCGATACTTGAGTCCCAGGCATCTGACGGGCCAGCCCCAGGTGTCTAACTGCAGTGTAGACGTACCCTGAGCACCTTCTCAGCCCTGAAGAAGAGGCGAAACCCTGTCTCACCGACAGACGTTGGGCCAGTAAAAGATGGTACCTCACCCACTGCGTTGCCGAGGCTAGTCGGCATATCAGCAGGGCTTGAGCGTGGAGCGTCCTGCTGGGCCAACTGGCTTCAGTTAAAACCCCAATTGAACTGGAGCTAGAGGTTGGGGTGTATGTGTACAGGAAGGGGAGTAACAAAGACTGCAGCATCTCAGCCCCCAGAGGGAGGCTTGCCCCAGGCCGGTGAGGATTGGGTGCTTGGTTAAGAGGCAGTAACAAAAGACAAAGCTTAAAGGGAAGAAGTGCTATAGAGAAAAAAAAAAGGTGTTTTATTAAAGCCAGACACTCTGATAAAAAAGAAAATAAGAAAGGAAAGGCAAAAGAAAAAGCAACCCTTTGTCATTTGGAATTTTTCAAGTTACAATGATCACATTTCTCACAGAACTATCCATGGCATCCATATAGTTTATACATAGACCTACGCTACAGACAGAAGCCGGAAAAAGATTTACAAAAACATACAGACTCCAGAACTGTCCTTTACAACCAGCTTTGTTTTGTTTTGTATTTTTTTTTTTCAAAACAGTTCACAATAAAATTCATGCGAGAGAGAGACACACACGACATTGTAGAAACCCCGAAAACAGCATCTAACGTTTTCTTTTTTTGTCCTTTTAAAATTTTTAACCAACATACAGTCTCAGACGACGAAAGCAAGGTGTGGCATGCAGCAGCGGCTCCAGAGAGACATGCATAACTTGGGTGGTGCCTTTTTTAGTTTTTTTTTAGTTTTATTTTTATTTAAAAGTCAGAATAAAGTGGGTTTATTTTTAAGTCAACACGCCGTTATTGTTGGTCTCACACACAAGTTGAGTGATGCCATGAAAATGACGCACACGCACACACACACGCACGCACGCATAGAAAACTAGTTGGCTTAACCATGGCGGGGCTGGGGGTAGGAAATGAAGCCAATAGAAATTAACCAAAACAAAATGCCCAGTAATTCCCTCCAAAGCCACAGCCTAGCGTGGAAAATCGCCTCCCGGTAGCTAAAAGGCAGCCCCACGACACTATTAGTCACGGCCATCGTGCGAGGGGAAAGCCTTCGCAACACACAGGAGAATGCAGCCGATCACCTCAAGCAGCTGTAAACATTTAAACAAGTGCACCTTTGGGGCAGCTGTTCACAGGCGCCCAAGTCTCCTTAAAAGCCGATGGGAGTTAGGCACCTGGGCCTACGTGCCTAGTGAAGCATTTTCAAAAGCCCATTGATTTTTTTTTTCTATTGCCTAAGACCCAGAACCTGAACTGTGTTTAGCTGCTGAACGCCTACTGAAGCCAATGGGAGTTAGGTGCGTAAGTACCATGGAAGAGCGGGGCCTTAGGTGCTTTTGACCCTGTTACCCTAGTTGTGCCTTTGAAAAAAAAAATCTGCCTCCACCCACCCACCCACCCGGCTGCAACATTTTTTGCTAATTTAGTGACACCGCTGCCTGCACCCGCGAGCCCGTTCCAGCCGGCGCGAGGCCAGGTTGAAATCGAGTTAAGCACGTCCAGGTGAGGCCGAAGGCAGGGTGGGTGGCTGGCAGGCAGTGGTTTACCTGACTGGGTTTTAAAAACACCTTCCCCTCCAGTGGGGGGGAGCACTGTGTGTGTGTGGGGGGCTAGCCCTTAGCTACAGGGGTGAGGCTATGCCAGCGTTTCTATTGTAAGCCTCCCCACCCTTCCTACTCACGCCGGCAGGAGCAAGACCGTGACGCACTGGCCCACAGCAGCATCGACCTGTCCAGCCCCTACCTTGAGGCACAGTGGGGGTGTGTGCTCCCCCCCCCCCCCCCCCCCGGAGCTGGAAGGCCTTCACCAGGGCATCTGGCCATCCTTAATACTGGGTGCTCCGCCCTCAGCACTCCCTCTCTGAGCTGGGCACACCCCCTTCCTGGCAGGGCCTGGTGGGTGGGCACCCGTCACTCACTAGCGGCCATGAGACAAGCCATGACACTGCCCCCTCCTGGCCTCTTTCTTTGGCCTGGCCCTAGGCAGGCTGTGGAAGCGGGTTCAGGGGGCCAGCGGGACGGTGCCGGGGGGGGGGGGGGGGGGGGGGGGGGGGGGCGAACCGAAGCCCCCGCTTTGCTACCATGGTTCACTTGGGTACTGAAAATTTTTTTATTTTTTTTTTTTAAATTAACGCTTCAACTTCTGTCTATTGAGCCTGGCTCCGGCTCGGCCCGAAAGGCCACGCCTGAGCATTTTGCCCCACTGTGTGAGGCCAAGCCAAGCCGAGCCGTCTGGCTCCAAGCCAGGGGCACAGGGCCACGGGCTCGGAGAGGGGTGTCGGACTTCTAGGGGCTGACGCTGGCCCTGGGGTGCGGAAGGGCTCGGACAATGCCGGGCAAGGGGGAAATAATCTAGACATAAAACCAGCACTTTCTTTAAGAGCTGGGACAGCTCTGTCTCCTCCCTGCCCAGCGGGTGGCGCTAAGTCCCCCACTAAACTCCACCTCTTGCTGTTCCTTTTATCTGGCTCCTCCCGGGGGGGAAAAAACGACCCATCAGCCCAGTGTGTGCCTGACTCTGCCTATATCTTGTGCCCCCCCCGCTTAAAAATTGCTACAGTGGAGCTGGGACAAGTGTAACCGGCTCGGTGCTCTATTCTGCCAGCGTGGGCAAGAAGCCTGCTTCAGCCCCAAGACTTGGGCTTTAAAGGTCATACTTTACAATCCAGGGGTCACAGGTTCAATCCCTGCTACCGACAACCGGTGGCTCCCTCCACATGCATACCAGCCTCTCCCACCATGCACACAAAATGTAAGAAGGGGGGAGGAGTGACAGGCAACAGGGAGGGGTCTAGGAAAAGCATGGAGACAGGATGGTAAGCTGAGTGTTAGCGTTAAAGCTGCGTTTCTAAAGCAACGATTTCACCAGGGAAGAAGATCCACCCCCTCAGATACCAGCCGTGAAGAGAGTTCTTTTATTTCTTCTTTTTTTAAATATTTATATATATATTTATATTACGTATATTATATATATATAATATGTAAATATATTTTTAAAACAATATAAAATGTTAAGACACTTCACTTAAATGTAAAGAGTTGCTTTTTGCAATCCAAAGAAATTGCATTATGGTTCTTTTCTTTTTTTTTTTTTTTTTTTTTCTTTGTTATTCAAAAAAAGGCTCGTTCTTTTCGTACAAAAATGATCGCTATACAAAAAAGAAAGAAAGGAAAAAAAAAAAGAAAAAGAGAAGGAACTGAAAACGGACGACGAACTAGGCAACGAAAGAAGTGATTCGATTTCGTACTCCGGTTGCACATGATCCGCACTCTACACTATAGCATTTTGGATATTCACACCCACCCACACACAGCTCGCATAGATTCCCCTAGATATAATCTGTGCTTACATTTTGTTTGTCCAGTCCCCCCACCCACCCCACACACACACACACACGCACATGTATGTATTGTACTTTAACAAACCTCTTCCGTACCTATCTGAGTCCAGGGCACGTGCCCCTCTTTTGTGCCCATTCTCCGTGGCTCCAGAGTGAGCCCAAGAGACCCAGCGTTGGCCGCTGGACCTGTGGCTCGGCTACTAATTTCATTCCCCATCTCCCTCCCTCGGGTTCCTCTAACGAGCCCCAGCCCTTCGCCTTGCTATTCAGTGTATTTGTCACAGCCACGTGCAAGGGCAGCTCCTCGCCTATTTGTACTTTGCATTCCTTCCCCCCCGCTCACCTCCTGGGGGCGCTGCTGCTGGTGCAAACCAGCCACTAGCCCCTGGTGCGTTCCCTGTGGCCCTGCCTGACCAGACCTGATTGCTATAGATTTCAAAGGGCCCGGTGGGGGACTGCCACTCCCGCCCCCAACCTCAGCCCAAGGCGAGGCCCCGTTATGCCAGACTCCCACTTACCAATGAGTCCATGCAGAGGCCAGGACACGGAACAGGAGCATTAAACTCCAAGAGCATTTGCAGCCTCTGCATGGACACCCCCATCTGGGCACACAGTATATTGCTTAGTACCGTGGCGTTCACCCTTTGCCGGTGCAGGACAATATGGAAGGGCGGGGCGGTTACAAGCCATGACCCTCGCTGGGGTCATCCCCCTTCTGCCCCAGTCGAGATCCAGGGCTTACAACCTCGCCCTTCCCGCCTGCGTTCCTCTGCCTTTCCCAATCCCATTCCACTCCCCTCCCACGTCCCTCAGTCCGACATGATCGACCCCTTCTGTGCCACCCAGCCCCTGGCCTCACCGTTCAGCATCACCCCTCTGCTCCACGCAGCCCCGGGCTGCCTCCGCCAGTTTCTCTCTCTCCCTACAGGAAGGAACTGACCAAACCTTTAAAGTGCTACATTATGAAACTAAGATTACGGGAAACCTGACTCCTTCAGGAACCGGCCCCGTCTCATTCCAATTTCTCTACCCGTTTCAGCCACGTCTCTTGGAGTAACATTCTGCCTCCCCGCCACTGACATGCCCCGACCTTTGGTCTTTCCAGTTGCGAAGCACTAGGCAATATCGCCGACTAAACCCGCTCAGGTGTTTCCCTTGGAAACCCTTGGAAGAAAGAGACAGTGAAGCTAACGCAAACACTGACCCGCTGGCTTCTTGCAAGATGAGCCCTGGTGGCCTTCAATACAGCACTGACCTTTCAGCAAGTCAACAATCAAAAGCCCAACGGAAAAGCTGCACACACAGGCCCCAAAGTCAAAACACCACTGACCCATGAAGACTTGGCTAGAAGACTGTAGCACAGTTTCCTACAGGATTAATCACAGTTACAGCTGTTTAAAAACTTTAAGGAAAGAAAAACGTAGTGGCAGCCGCATTAACAGTCAGATCTGAGGGTTTCTGAGGCGTCTTCAGAAGCCGCTTCCCCCCCACACCCTTCCTCCCCCCGTCAACGGCCTTCTGCTTTTGTTCTGGTCCCCCTTGAACAAGGCATGGCAGGTTCTGGCGCTGTGCACCGTCCTCGTTGCTTGAAGCTCGTAGAACGGGCGGAGTGAAGTTCTTAGCGCTCTTAAATAAACAAAAAACGCCAGGGTGGAAAAAAGGAGGTGTCGAGAGGGGAGAAAAAAAAAAAACCACCAACAAAAAGAAGAACAACAACAAAAAAAGAGAGGAAGAAACAGAAAGTGGCAGGTCGGCCATATTGGAGCAGGAAGTGGACATGTAGGTCGGCCATATTGGAGGAGGAAGTGAGACAGGAGGTCGGCCATAGTGGAGCAGGACAATTAAAATAAAAAGCTAGAGGGACATCTGGTGACCTTTGAAGTTGCCTCAAGAAGACAGTCCAAGGGAGGAGTGTAGGGAAGAGAGAAGCCAGGCCCCAGTAAGGAGGAAAACAGTTGAATGAGAAGTTGGCAAGGAGCGTTAGAATGAAATGGATGAGTTCCTTGCCCCAAAGGAAGTCAACACAGGGATGGATGTTCTGCCAGGAGTATTTTTTTCTGAGACTGGACTGGAAGTCTCACTCAGCCCACTAGCCTCTTTAGATGATCTAGCGGCCTAGAAAGAAAAGCAAGATTCAAGGAGGAGGCGGAAGGGCAGGGGAATCAAACAGTTTTGTTTTTTTTAAAAAAGGAATTTGTTCAGAAGCAGCATTGATTTAGGCCTGAGGTCGAGCAGCTGGGAAAAGGTCCACACCACAAACAGAGCACGAGATGATCTGGTTCCACGGGTTACTGGATGAGGGAAGGAGCATCACCAAGAGGAGAAGGCGAGCGAGAGACAGAGAGAGACAGACAGACAGACGGACGGACGGACACACACGCACACATAGAGGCAGGCAGGCAGAGGGAGACAGGAGAGAAAGGTCGGGGTGGGGGGAACAAGAATTGAAATGTTAGACTGGGCATGCACAGCGTGTTAGAACAATGACTATATTCAAGTTAGTTGCATCAAGGCTGTGTGGGGGAAGGCGGGATTTCCAGGGGGGGTGAGGAGCGGGGAGGTCGCTGCAGAGGTGCTGTTTATCAGAGCTGTCCCACAGGTGCAAAAGAAAGGGACAGTCATTCACAGACGCATCTGAACCCTGGGGAGCGTCGCTTGGCTGGGGGGGAGCGTTCAGTAACTTGTGTTGAAATCTAGCAGCTTCAGAAGCCACGGGTGGTGGGGGATAGGGGTAGGTCCTCCAAAACGTGACTCTGCCGTCCCCGCCCAAGCTGGGTTAGCCTAAGCGTGGGGAACAAGGACAGCACCCCAAAACTTTATGAAGCATTTAAATAGAATAGTCCATGTTGCCCAAGCAAAGCTTCTGGTGAGGGACACCTGGGACTGACGGAGCAGACGCGAAGGGTCTCGGCCGCTGTCTGTAACCTGCTAGGAAAGGGGCAAACCCACGGGTTCTCTTACAAGACCTTCCCACCCCCCGAGTCCATAGATGGAAGGGGATAGAGGTCTTCTGTGCAGCGGGCTAGACCAGCTGGCCCCTACATGCAGAGAAGGGCCAGTATGACGAAGGCATGAGGCAAGCCTAAGGGTGCAATCCCAAAGGCCACTGAAGGCAATGGAAAACTTCCCTTTGACCACAGCAGGCTTTGGGGCAGGTTCTGGCAGAGCAAAGCGGGGCTTCACAAAGCGTGTGACTCTCGAGGCGGTGGAGGAATGGACTTGGGGAGCCGCCGAGGGATGAGAGGGACGGGGTGGGGGGTGGAAATCAGGATAGGGCAAGGTCAGGCTGGGTCTCTGCAAAGACGGGCCCATGGTGCGATGCATCGGGCACGGCCTGGCCTCTGGACGGCACCCTGGACATTTTCCAAGCCGCCTAGATGACCTGGGTGCCAAACTCCCATTAATTTGTGGGACCCTATAATGGGATTTTTCCAAAGTCAAAGGGACTTGTGCGCCTAGCTCATTTAGACACCCTGCTCCAAAACCCTTCGGCTAGTGTTTCTCAACGGTTTTTCAGCTTAACGGCCCCTTTATACTAAATCAACAATTTTTGCAACTATAAAAGAGTTTAAAAAAACACCCCTGTGTCCATGCTAACGGTGCTACGCGATTGGCCGCTATTTGCATGTGCGTGGCGAGAGGTTGCCAGGAAACACAACCCGCAAGCGTGGCGTGGGAGAGCGAGATTTTCTTTGCTCTGGACTGTAATAAAATGAGCAATGTCTTAGGACACCCCTGTTCCCCCTCATGCTTTTTTGTGATCCCCGGGAGGCTCTTGATCCGCCGGTGGAGAAACACTGCCTTAGACGGTTCCCTAAATCACAGCCTTGAGACCCTAGATTGGCCAAGGCATGAGGAAATGTACGTGAGGGCACACTCCTGGGAAATGGAAGAGACGGTCTAAGAGGACTTAGACATCTATGGCCCTTGGTATTTTCTAGCATCTAGAGAGGACAGAAGAACATAAGAGCGGCCACACTGGGTCAGACCGATGGCCCATCTAGCCCAGCATCCTGTCATCGGACGGTGGCCAGTGCCAGAGGCATGGTGCCAGGGCATGATGGCTTCCCTGCCAGCTACTCTGGTCTGCAGCGGGGTGATGGGGTGGGTCTAGGTGAATTGCCTCAGCGGAGTTACCTATCTGTTCTCATACCTAGGGAGGATCCCCCCCACCCCCGTGCCCCAGCTGCAGCTCCCGCCTGGTCCTTTTGAGTGCTGTATGCCCAGCAAAATTCCCCAGGCCTGGCACAAATGAATCAGGTGCCCATGGACCGGCAAAGGGAAATCAGCCCCCCAATCGTCATCATGAGAACAGAACACACGAGGGGATTTGGTATATTGGGGGGAGGGGGGGGGGGGGACCCCCCCTGCGTGTGAGGACCGGGTGGAAGCTGCGAGGATGAAATGGGGGGGGGGGGGCAGGGAGTCCGGCCATGCACAGACACCCCCACCCTGCGGAAGGAGCTGAACAGCACCACGGCGGGCTGGGGGCTGCCTCTCGGCGGGGAGCCGGCTGTGCTGGAGGCCTCTCCCGGGAACTGACAAACAACACCTGTGCTGGGCTCTAGGCGCCCGGACGCCGGTTAGCACTGGGGGAAGTGTGGGTGGGGAACGTGCAAAGGGAGCAGCTCGGATCCTTTCGGGGATGGGTCCAATTTGCTCACGCGACGTGGCTCAAAACCCAGCATGGCCGGGGGAGGGGGGGGAACCCGCCCTTGAACCCACTGGGTTTTGTTACACCCCAATGAGCAAAATTTGGGATTTTTCAGCAGGATCGGGGGAGGGGTTGAAACACAGACTGTGGGTGGGAGTGGATGGGACATCGGACAAGCCATCCCCAGGGTGCTGTCGCTCAGCGGGGACAAGGGCTGACCACTGGTGCTGGGGGCAATCTGGCAAAGAAGGGGTGGGGAGCGAGGAGGGGATCGGGGTGTCAGTCGGGGAGGGGAAGGAGGGGAGGGTTAAGGGCTAGAAACTGGCTTTTGTTACCTTGCCTTGTGGCCTCAGAAAGCTGGACAGCCACTGTGAGCACTGTTAGCGTCGGCAAGAACAACAGAAGCAAGTGAACCCAGCTGCACGCTCAATGCTACCGCAGACAAGCCCACGTGGAACGGGGATTGGGGAGGCACCCGGGGGGGGGGGGTCTACTCCAAATCTTCATCCACCTGCCCTACAGTCTCCCGGCGCCCCACCCCCTTCGCCCACCGTCTCACGTGAGTCCCTCGGAAAGAACATGGTCCCAGAGCTGCTGCGGAGGTCGGAGCCCCCCCCCCTCCCCCCACTGCAGAGCCATGAATGGGCCCAGCTTGGGGGCTAGTGTGTACTGGGGGAGCCCGCGGTGCGCCGGGCAAAGATGCATGGGGAGCGGGATATCTGGAGGGGGCTGGAGAAGGGAGGGAGACAGCCCCCCCCCCCAAAGCATCCATTGGGATCTTGCTAATAGAGAGCACTGGGCGTGGCTAATGTTTGTGGGCGGAGTCTGGCCTGGGCATCAATGGGCTACCGATTCCTTGCTGAGCTCCACGTCAAACTGCTCTGAGGTCGGACTCTGAAAACAGCCGAGCAACCCAACACCTCGTTCCACAGGAGAATCTCCCCAGCATGAACGTCAGCTCCACACCCCACGGTCCCCGGCCATAAATCGCCGCTCCTCTCCCCAGTAGAGAGCTGCAGGCACCAGGAGACACCAGAGGAGAGCGCCTCCTGTGGACACAGACTGGGCCCACCCGGCATGGCTTTGTGGATCCAACAGCAGATTGAGGGACCCACAAGATCACTTTGTGGGGAGCACAGGGGGAGGGGAGGGGGGTTACCCAGTTGCAATCGCGAGCACAATGGGCTCTGAAGGGACTTCAGGCCTGTCTAGGATCTAAGGTCAAAGTGATCAATGTCTCTCCTTCTTAGAAAAGGGTGACTGATAGGCCTGGCCCTCCTGAACCGATGGGAGGAGGGTGGAAATGGAGCTGGGGTGGGGAGCTCGGGGGAAGAGGCGAATCCTACTTCAACCCTCACACCACGTGTGACATGAGTTTGCTGGTCTCAGCTCGGTGCCCAGTGTAGTGCTGTGGAAGCCGTCGTGTTGGGGGCAGCAGAGCTGATTGTACATCTCACCTCCCCCGAGGCCGTTGCCTCCCCCAGGTACACAGATACCTCCCTCCTCACCTGTGCCAGGCTCCGGGAGGACAAAAGGCAGCAACAGAAAACGTGCGCTGTCCGATCACACAGCCTCTCGGGCAAGTTTATCCCACCCTCCCCTGCAGACATACCAAGAAAAGCAGGGCTCCTAACCAGTCTTGGTGTCCCCCTGCGGCTGCTCTAGAGATAAACTACCTGCTGTTGTCCCTGGATCCTCATGTATTCCATTCTCTGCTTGATGTGTTTGCTTTTGTCCGGGCTCCCCTGCTGGCTCTGCTTCAGCCTGGAGGCCGGATTCACCATCTTCATGGCTGGAATGGAAACCCCGCCACTCTGTTGAGACACACAGGGATGGGGGTTAAATCCCACAGACACATGAGCCAACCTAACGCTCGCTCCGGTTCCGGGCGTGGGAGGCGGCTGGTTGGGGCCGGCCAGTGGCATTCCTGGCCTTGCTTCCCGGGCGAAGATCTCGTAGTGGGTGAGATCCAGAGGCCCCGTGTGATGCCAATGCCCCGCTGAAGCCCACAGGGGTGGGATTTTCATCAGCGCTCCGCACCGACCTGCCCCACATTGAAATCGGTCCCTCAATTGGAGCAGACTTAGGCCAACGTTCAGGGGCGGCTCTGTTTTTTGCCGCCCCAAGCACGGCAGTCAGGCAGCCTTCGCAGATTCAGTGGCGTTTCTGCGGGTGATCTGCCGGTCCCGCGCCTTCAGCGTACCGGCTGCCGAATAGCCACCGAAGCCGCGGGACCGGCGGACCTCCTGCAGGCACGCCGCTGAAGGCTGCCTGACTGCTGCCCTCACGGCCAGCGGCACGCCGCCCCCCGCGGCTTGCCGTCCCAGGCACGCGCTTGCTGCGCTGGTGCCTGGAGCCGCCCCTGCCAACGTTACGGCCTAGATCCTCAAAGGTATTTAGGCCCCTAACTGCTATCGATTAGGGGCCTAAACCCCTTTGAGGATCCAGGCCCAAGCCCTTTAGAAAAGCTCACCCCTAAGTGGAATGAGTGGTAAACACAGACCCTCTGGGCAGGGGCTGGCACCCACTTTAAGGCTCCTACAGTGCATTGGGCCCGCGAGCGTAACCGAACCTGCGTTTGCTGCTTTTCACTAGTAGGTTCCTCCCCCCGACCCCAAGCTCCTGGCAGCATTTCCGGCACAGCAAGACCCTCTCCAGGAGAACCTTGCTTTGATACAGCCCGGCTGTTAGCAGTTCCAGCCTCGCCAGCTCTTGCCATTTCAAAGTCACGTGAGCTTTGGTCAGTTCCCCGGCTCCGAGCATGTGGAGAAGCTCTGGGCTTCCCATCCCCATAGCCTCAGACCCAGGCAGTCCGGACCGTGTGGGAATTTCTGGTCGGGAGCCAAGCTTTGCTCATGGCCCCAGGTCTGTAACATGGAGCCAAACCCAAACCCTGGCTCTCCACACCCCCAAACTTTGGGGCAGAATGTGCCTTGGGGAGAGGGGTCGCCCTAAACAGGAGGCAAAGGACAGAGATGTCCAAAAGGCGGCGCACTTATGCAGTTACCACATCCTTACTCTCCATCAGAGAGACAGAAAACAAGGGAGTCTTAAGGGGCCTCCTGGTATTTTGGGGATTCAATTTCTCTTGGGGGCGGGTGAGCACCCAGAGATTCTCTGGCATTGGAAACACATCCCCTCAGTACTGCCCCATGCTGGAAACAGGCCACCAGAGCCTCTGCCATGCAGTGCCCAGCCTTCCAAACGACTTCCCTGCACTTCCCAGTGAGCGGGGGGCCTTGTTTCCCAGAGGGCTGTGGGGGCATCACCACCACGCATGGTGCATTCCGCTCAGATCCACCCATGATGTGTGATATCCACACCCACGCAGGGTCCCTAAGCACCTCGGGATACAAATTTACCAGGGGCCTGACGCTCTTGTCTCCTGGGAGCGTCGATGGCAAATGTCCGAGTGTGGAGACTGGGGGAAGAACATGCCTGGGATGTCAGAGCAGGAGAGGACCTGACGCCGGAGTGGAGATGCATCCCTTGCTCACCCAATTTGATGGAGTTACTCCAGATTTACTCTGGGGTAACTGGGATCAGAATCTGGCCTGGTACCTTTCCTCTCCAGTGTGAACCACCAGCAGCCCCATGCAGAAAGCACAACGATAAACGCCAGTGTGCCCACACAGGGATACCTAGAGAGGCACATGAATGAAGAGCCAGGCTTGCAGTGGGTGCTGGGCACCCACAGCTCCAGCTGAGTCCAATGGAAACCAGGCCCTTGATTTAGGTGCCTAACTATGGAATTGGGCGCCTAATTTTAGGCATCCGGGTTAGAAATTGTTGGCCAAAAATCTGTGCTTGAGATGGGCCCAAACCTACTCGCAGAGCCAAATACCCCAGTACTGCTGGGGAGGTTTGAAATCCAATCCAAGCCCGGATCCAGACCCCACATTTTGCAAACAGCTCCAAGCCCTATTAGACGTCTGAGCCAAAAACCAGGTTCCAAAAATCCCTCAACTTTTGGGTTTTTCCCAAATCTGGATGTTGACGCTGAGGCCAGATCCCATCTTCGATCAATAACTCGACTCCCCCTGTTCTTTCCACACCAAGATCACCCTAATCCCCCTCCCCCGGGGGGTCCCAATTATACACATGGTGTGATATGTTCAGAAATGAACGGGAAACTTCGCGTTTGCATTGTCGGTCCCAGGATAGGAGAGAGATTTGATTGGAACAACCTCTGTTGGTGAATGAGACAAGGTTTCGAGTGTGCACAACACTCTTCTTCAGGGCTGGGAAACGCAGGACAAGCTCTGTGAAAGCTTGTCTCCTTCACCAACAGAAGTTGGTCCAATAAAAGATATTCCCTCGCCCACCTGGTCTGCCAGCTCATTCTCATCAGGTAAGTCTGCAATGCAAACAGCAGGGACGAGGGAAAAACCACTGAAAGCAATGGAAAACCGAAAGCAGAGGGAATGCATCCCGGCTCGATGAGAGGATGCATGTGAAAGCGAAAGAAAGAGAGCTGCTTTGAGACAGAGGCAGATTTCCAGGTGGGAATCACGACAGTGGGAATAAAGCAGTTTTTATTAGCTATCCACGTACAGTTTGAGATACAGAAGCTGGTGAGAAGGACAGCACAAAGAAAAGATTAATCTGTAAGCAGACAGAGGTCCTGTAACTCGGGTGGATATCAAGGCTGCGCCCAAGGAATAGCTAGTAACCGATCACTGCAATCGTTTGCCCCATGTAGCTCCTTATTATTGTTTCCTGGAGTGCATGCTAGCATTCTAGCCATGTGCACACAGACTGACTTTCTGGTGCCTCTTCCAAACTCTTCCATCCTGCAACCTGCTCCTCTCTCAAAGTTCCGTGCAGGTTGCTACAGTTATTATGGAAAGACACTAGCAGATCTGGGACCAGCTACAATGGGTGGCATAAACTGAGCCTTTCCCTCTGGGCTTTGTAAAGGAATGCTGAGCAGGACGTGCGCTGAGCTGAAATTTAGGCCAGGCCTGAGCATCCTAACCCAGGCGCTGTAAATGGATGGACCCTCATTTCAATGACACAAAAATCAGGCCCATGACACTAGATTCAGCAGAGTAGTAAATGAGTGAGTCTAAATAAGCCGTACAAGAGAAGTGCAGTGAGCACCGATGGGTGTCAGCCAGCCAGTCTAGAATAAGGTGAGGTGAGTGGAGACGCGCTGTTCTAGGGAGCAGCCTGCTTTCTCTCTCTCTGTTTTTTGGGCTCTTGTGGGTTATCATTCTGAATTCTAAGATATAAAGCCATGCTACGCTGCAACCTTCCAGCAGGCATATTTCTGTCTGTGTCTAAGTTCTCTGTGTGCATGCAGTGAACATATAACAACATTGCCCAGCTATGTTCTGGTGTGATACGCTGCCTGTTGCAGTGATGACAGACAAGGGTGAGCTGTTACGATTTGGATCTGGGTCTCAAACAGCCCAGAAATTTAGGGTGATCGGGGGTGAATTTTCATCTGATTAGTGACCGATTCAGCCAAACCTTAGCTAAGTGGCCTCCCATTTTGTGATGCATCCAGGCAATCATAGGTCCTGGTAGTGTAGCGATAAATCAAACTTGCGGGCTTCATTCTCATTTACATTCAGGGTCTGTCTACACGGCCATCAGAGATGTGACCGGCACTCGGGTACCAATAGCAGTGAAGCCGTGGCAGCGTGCAAGGGACCCTGGGTAGCTAGCCGGTGCTGCCGCAGCTTCACTGTTATTCGTACCTAAGCTAGCAGAATTAAATCTAGCTCGCATACGTCTATACGAGCTGCAGTCACCCGACTGCCGTGTAGACAGACCCTGTGGCCCCTTTTCACCAATCCATCTGTCTAACCGGAATTGAAGTGGCAGCAAACGACAGCGACATCCATTTTAAGTCCCATTGACACAGGCGCAGCGACGTCAAGGGGCCTTAATGTAAGCAAGAACCAGGCCCAGTCTAATTGCTACGAAGGGAAAAGGGATTCATTCATAAAAGCGGAGGGTTACTAAAGGAATACGCTGAGTTCTGACTGGCGGAGTTCTCCCCACCCCCTTCCCCCATCAGCTATTCAGCAAGACGCCTGGTCCTTGCAGATTCCATTTGCAACCGATTTAATTAGGAGAACCATCTGCCACTTAGCAAGGCCACTTAAAGTGCAGTTAGTCAGAAAAGTGAGACACAAAAAACTCTCCATCCTTTTACTTACAAATGGAGGGGATCTAACGTGGCGTCCCTAGGGGTACGTCTCCACGGCAAAGAAAAAGCCCAACTGACTTGGGCTCGCCGGGCTAAAAGTAGCCGTGTAGATGTTTAGGTTCAGGCTGGAGCCGGAGCTCTGAGACCCTTTGCACTCGCTGGATTTCAGAGCCCGGGAGCATGAGCGGGAACATCGTCCCTGCTTTTAGCCCCGAAGCCCGAGCCAGGCTCTGAGATTCGGTGTCACGGGTTTTTCTTCGCAGCACTGACATACTCTGATTAACACAATGCAGAGCAGAGGCCCTTTAAACAGGACCTGATCCTGCCCTCGATCCCATGGGCATGAAACTGGAATAACTCCACAGAAATGAATATGGTTACTCCAGATGGACACAGGTTAAGACGTAAATTTCAGCAGAACTCGGCCCTTGGCGCTCATCATTTGGGGCTCAGACTCCTATGCTAAAATTACCCCCCAAACCTGCTGCTAAGGCCCTGTGTGGAACGTCTCCCTTGTCATCTGCCTTCTCTTCCCAGGTCTCTTGGGTCCCCCCATTCTTATCTGGACCTGATTTTATTGCCTTGGGGTCGATCAGCAAACTTGACATCCAGCCGTCCAGCTACAGTTTGAATTTGCACCCAGCAGCCAGCACT